TTTAGTTATATCAAATATGTGTTACATATATTGGGCGGGGCAGGGAGGAGTAATTTTCTCTTGCTTAGCTTTTTTTTTCTGCTCAATGATAGCACTCTACCACTTTAGCCACACCTTCACTTCTACCTTTTTGCTGTTTAATTGGAAATAAGAGTGTCTCAGATTTGTCTGCCCAGGCTGATTTTGAGCCACAATCTCAGATCTGTCTTTTGAGTAGCTAAGATTACAGAGGTGAGCCTCTGGCTATAATTTCTTACTGTATGGGAAATTGGTCAATGTCTGAAAACCACTGAATCCTAAAGGGATTATTTTGTAGCAGGAGTCTTTCTAATACTAGGCTTTTTTTCTTTTCTTTCTTTCTTTTTTTTTTTTTTGGTCGGTCATGGGGCCCAAACTCTGGGTCTGGGCACTATCCCTCAGCTCTTCAGCTCAAGGCTAGTGCTCTACCACTTGAACCATAGCTTCACTTCCAGCTTTTTCTGTTTATGTGGTGCTGAGAAATCAAACCCAGGGCCTCATGCATGCAAGGCAAGCACTCTACCACTGAGCCACCTCCCCAGCCCCCTAGGCCTTTTTTCTTTAGAGTTATAAAATATTTATTTGGGGGGACTTCATATATGACAAATTCAAAACATGTTTAAAGGCATTTCATAAAAGCAACAAAGATATCATGGCACTTGTTTGTTTGTTTTGCTGGTCATGGGGCCTGAACTCTGGGCCTGGGCGTTGTCACTCAGCTCTTCAGCTCAAGGCTAGCACTCTACCACTTGAGCCACAGCACCACTTCCAGCTATTTCTGCTTATGTTGGTGCTCAGGAATCAAACCCAGGGCCTCATGCATGCAAGGCAAGCACTCTACCAGAGCTACCTTCCCAGCCCCAAGAGACAAAGTCTTTTATATATCCTAATCTGGCCTCAAACTCGAGATCTACCTGTCTCAGTCTCCTGAGTGCTGGGATTGCAGGTTGTACCATCACTTGAACTGGGCTCCCCACTTGCTAGACAGGTGCTTTACTGTTTAGCCATGCCTTGGAGTTGTACTTTTTTTTGCCAGTCCTGGGACTTGAACTCAGTGCCTGAGCACTGCCCTTGAGCTGCTTTTGCTCAAGATTAGCACTCTACCACTTGAGCCACAGTACCACTTCTGGCCTTTTCTGTTTATGTGGTACTGAGGAATCGAACCCAGGGTTTCATGCATGCTAGGCAAGCACTCTTCCATTAAGCCGCATTCTCTGCCCAAGGTCCTACACTTTTTAATAATCATTGGATGAAAAGAGTAGGTTTAAGCAGCACCAGTGGCTCATGCCTGCAATCTTAGCTATTCAGGTGGCTGAGATCTAAGGATCACAGTTTGAAGCCAGCCCAGGAAGAAAAGTCTGTGAGAAGCCGGGCGCTGGTGGCTCACGCCTGTCATCCTAGCTACTCAGGAGGCTGAGATCTGAGAATCGCGGTTCAAAGCCAGCCTGGGCAGGAAAGACTGTGAGACTCCTATCTCCAATAAACCACTAGAAAACCGGAAGTGGCGCTGTAGCTCAAGTGGTAGAGCGCTCGCCTTGAGCTGAAGAGCTGAGGGACAGCGCCCAGGCCCAGAGTTCAAGCCCCACGACTGACAAAAAAAAAAAAAAAAGAAAAGTCTGTGAGACTCTTATCTCCAATACACTACTTAAAAAAAGCTAGAAGTGGCACTGTGGCTCAAGTGGTAGTGTGTTACTCTTGAGCACAAAGAGGCTCAGGGACAGTGCCCAGGACCGGAGTTCAAGCCCCAGGAGTGGGTATAGGTGGAACTAGAGAAATCAAGGCTATGTCATCCTTGCTTTGTGTATATTTTGGGGATAGCACGGGAACATCTTACCCTTTCTCCCACCCTTCTCCATACATGTCCACCTATTCCCATGCTCCCCTAACCCTTCTTTGCCTCCCCTTACCCAGGTCCTCCTTTGTCTTCCCCCATGGCTCACCTTTCACTGCACTGATCTCCATAGCGGCCAGGGTCACAGGGCAGTTCACAGTGCTTGCCATGGAAGCCGGGTGGGCAGGTGCACTGGCCAGAGACAACGTTGCACTGGCCACGGACACACTCACACCGCCTTCGACACTCGGGGCCCCACCAGCCCGGCAGGCAGGTGCAGCGGCCGTTATCCTGCAGGCATGGTGAGGTGTGGCAGGTGCAATGGAAGTTGCAGCGGCGACCCCAAAAGCCAAGCGGGCACAGGCAGGCGCCAGTGACTGGGTCACAGTGTGCCCTTGGGTTGCACTGGCATGTGCGTTGGCACGTGGGCGACCACCAACCTGGGTCACAATGACATGTGCCCGTAGCGGGGTCGCAACGTGCATGGGAGCTGCAGGAACATGAAAACTCACAGAGGCTGCCCCAGCGGCCGGCTTGGCACTGGCACACACCTGTGGCCGGCTCGCAATGGCCATGAGGGTGGCAGGGACAGGTCTCACGGCAGTCGGGGCCCCAGTATTGGCCTGGGCAGCCTGCAGGAGTCAGAGATAGAATAGGGGGATGAGAGCTCAGAGTCAGGGACAAATCACCACCCTGGCCTTTCCCCAAGGCCGAAGGGGACCAGACCAATCCCCCAAGAGCCAGAGACAGTCCCCCCCAGTATATCTAGCAGCTTATCATCCTAGGTTACAGCTCATTTCCTGCCCCAGACTGAATCAGAAAAACCTTAGCCTAAGCTCTGCCTTCCACTACACATTCCAGAACACATTTAGAGATGCTGAGAGGGAGAGGGTGTGTCCAGAGACACCCACTCAGAGGTGGGTGAGGTTTCACCCACCTCTTCCTGATACATTCCCCCCTACCTCTGATGTGAGCTGGGAGCTTAACACTCACCCTGATCTCAGGTGGGTGCTGCCCACCAGGACGGCAGGAAAAGCTGCATTTCTCCGTCTCCTCTGAGACCAGAGACTCCTAGAGTCTTTCCACTGGCTATGTGCCATCCCCACACTTTTCCCATCCCCCTCTTCCTGGCAGAGAGGGCAAACAGCCCAGCCCCTGGCCTCCTTCCACTGATGTATAAGGTAGATGTGGGGGAGAATGAGAATGTGCTCATTTTGCAGTTAATAGGGCTCCTGTCTATGGAAAGTTGGAAAGAAAAATGAAGGTGCCAGGTATGCAGGACTTTGTGGGTCTTGGTAAAAACCAGATCATTTAGGGCATTTCCCAGGAAGATACCACTTCCAGTTTCTAGGCCTCAGTTTCCTCTGTGAGGCTTCTAGGGCTCTGGCCCTGCTGTTCTAAGTTTACATTTCTTTTCTTTTTCTTTTTTTTTGTGCCAGTATTGGGGCTTGAGTTCAGAGTCTAGAGTCCTTCTATGCTTTTTTCACTGAAGGCTACCACTTTGAGCCACAGCATCACTTCCAGTTTTGTGGTGGTTAGTTGGAGATAAGAGTCTTACAGACTTTCCTGCCTGGGTTAGCTTCGAACGGTGGTCCTCAATCTCAGCCTCTTGAGTAGCTAGGAATAAAGGTGTGAGCCACCAACACCTGGCCTAAGGCTACATTTCTACCTTCTGTGCCACCCCTGCCCCATACCCAATTTTTCCCAAACTCACGTGAACTACATTGTGCCCCGAAGAATCCAGGTTTACATCGACAGAGGCCTGGCTTCACACATATCTCGTCTTTCCTGCAGGCATCCTGCCCTTCACAGATGGCTGAAAAACACCCCACCCAGGTGAGAAGGCAAGAAGACATGACTAGCAGATACCCCTGCCCTTTCACCCTTTCTTGGGGGCTCTGCCTCTTCAAAGACATTCTCTTAGAGTCGCACGGGGTTGGGGTGGGGGTTAGGGCTCAGGAGGGGAAAGAGGTAGGAAGGACAGCCAATGGGCTGCGTGTGTCCCCCTTTTTAGGTGGGGGGTCCGTCCTGGCTACTCACGGATGGTGCATTCTTGATCTTTCTGCCTCCAGCCTGGGCAGCACTGGAGGTCCGCAGAGGGGCTGTGGGGGCAGAAAGGGGTCATCTGGGACAGCCGGTTAACAGAGTTGATCGCAGACTCTGGCTGAGGTGTGGGAGCCAGCCTCAGCCCTACCAGGGAGATCTGCTCTGTAATCACAGTCCCTGAGAATCACAGCCCCCATGTCCGCAAGCTCTCTCTTCCTCTTCCCTTGCCTTCCCAGCCAGGCTGTCCCTCAAGTTTCCCCTCCCTTCGCTCCCACATGCCCCAACATGATTTGGTAGTTCAGCCACCATCTCATCAGACTCCCACAAACCCACCTGCTGCCGGGGCAGACGTGCTGCCCCTCTGGGTTTAGTGTGGACTCCTGGGTCCCCCTTGTCCAGAGCAGCAGCAGTGGGAGCAGCAGCCCCAGTCTCATGGCGCCCAGAGCAGTGGGAGGGTCAGGGTTAATAGGCCCCCACAAGCTCCCAACCCCCTCCCTGCTTCCTCCCAAGGCTTTTCCTGAGGAAACCAGGCCCGAGGGGCGGGTTGTCCTGAAGCACCTCCCTGAGAGGGCGGAGGATGCTAGGAAGGCCAGAGACCCAGAAATAAACGAAAGGAAGGTTAACAGTAAGGCCAAAGTGGGCCATGTATGGAGCTCAGAAGCCATAGGTCCTGGGTACTGGGGACAGGCAAAGGGATGGAGTGATAGTGGGAGCCATGGCTTTTCATTAAGCCACACTCTCAACAAGAGGCTAAAGCTGGGAGAAGCTGCCACCCAGTGACTGGCCAAGAAGAACCTGGGAGGAGAGCTAGGCACTGACAGACATAAAACAGTTTTAGGAGCCAGGCACCGGTGGCTCACGCCTGTAAATCTAGCTACTCAGGAGGCTGAGATCTGAGGATCGAGGTTCAAAGCCAGCCCAGGCAGGAAAGTCCGTGAGACTCTTATCTCCAATAAACCACTAGAAAACCGGAAATGGCGCTGTGGCTCAAGCAGTAGAGCACTCGCCTTGAGCTGAAGAGCACAGGGACAGCACCTAAGCCCAGAGTTCAAGCCCCATGACCAACAACAACAAAAAAAAGAAACCACAGTTTTAGGGTCTTATGGACAGATACTTTTATTATATTAGCTGAGGCTTGTACAAAACTCCTGGGAGGTAGGCCGTCAGTTCTCTCTCCTGGATGGGGAAACTGGACCTGATACAAGCCACCTTTACGTCTGGCCCCCAGATGGGATACACACATGGTGGGGAGTGAGGCAGCCTAAAATCCCCAATGCAACGGCCATAACTGACTGCAGATGAGCCCTGGAGACAGGTGTGAAGGGGGTCCCCTCTCTTCATTTGAAGTCACACATCCACTTCCAGCCAAACCCTGAAGTCAGGCATCTTGGGCAGCTGGGCCCTCAGACCAACATGTTCATCATGAGCAGCGAAGGACAGTCAGGAGGTGGGGGCTGGAGGAGCGCCCACAGGCTCCAGGAGAGGTTGCTGGGGGGCTTCCTCTTCTTCTCCTAGCTTGCTGCTGGTCTCAGCGTCAGGGGCCTCTGCTTGACCCCGATACCACAAGCTAAAGCTGGAGGGAGAGGCAAGAGGTACTTGGAGCCAGGAAGCCAAGAAAATGGGCTAAGGGCAGGGAAACAGAGGAAAGAAAGTGTGTCAGGAGATCAAAGGGAACTAAAGGGGCCTAGGACAGAGAAGCAGGAGGAAAGTTAGTGCTTAGGACGGCTGGGTGAGAGGAAGTAGAACAGGAAAAGGGCACAGAGAAATAGGTGGGCTGCTCCTTCACTCCCTCCTCTGCCTTTTCCCTTCCCCCAACATACAAACTCTGTATTCTGGACTCGGTGGGTGGAGGGTGATCTTCCTTATCCATGGAGAGCAGGAGCCATGAGCCATCTTCATCATCACTAAGACAGAGGGAGGAGGCATAATGGCTCCAGGAACAACAGGAGCCCAGCTCATGTTGAGCCTTCTTCACTGCTTCCAGGAGCATCAGGGGAGGACAGCATGACTGTAGGGACCTCGGGGCTGGAGAGAAGATGACACTGGGGACATGTAGGACATCTTCATGTTTTCACTTTATAGCCTGGCAGTCAGCAGGTCCCCTATGACTGCAGCCACAGCTTCACACCTCTCATCCAGCCAAGGCAGGAAAATGAAGGCTGAGTGTGAGGATGTTTTTAGCAAATTTCCTTTCCCTCCTTCATTCTTTTTCTTTCTTTGTTTTTTCTGTCACTTTCTTTATTGTCTTTCCTCTGTGTGTGTATGTGTGTGTGTCAGGGAGAGAAGGAGGAAGAGGAAGAGGAAGGAGAAGAGGAGGCAGAGGAAGAGAGAAAGAGAGAGAGGATGAATGTGCTGGTACTAAGGCTTCAGTTCAGAGCCAGAGTGTTCTCCCTTAGCTTTTTTGCTCAAGGCTGGCACTCTACTACTTGAGTCATACTTCTACTTCCAGATTTTTTTGGGGGGTGAGGGTCTAGTCGTGGGGCCTGAACTCTGGGCCTGAATGCTGTCCCTCAGCTCTCAGCTCAAGGCTAGCACTCTACCACTTGAGCCATAGCGACACTTCCGGCTTTTTTCTTTTTTTGCTTATGTGGTACTGAGGAATCGAACCCAGGGCCTCGTGCATGCAAGGCAAGCGCTCTACCACTGAGCCACCTTCCTAGCCCCAGATTTTTTTTTTTGGTGGTTAATTGGAGATAAGAAGCTCACAGAGCCAGGCACTAGTGGCTCACACCTGTAATCTTAGCTACTAAGGAGGCTGAGGATTGTGGTTCAAAGCCAGCCCTGGCAAGAAAGTCCATGAGACTCTTATCTCCAATTAACCACTAGAAAACTGGAAATGGCACTGTGGCTCAAATGGTAGAGCGTTTGCCTTGAGCTGAAGAGCTGAGGGACAGCACGTGGGCAGAGTTTAAGCCCCATGACCAAGTTTTGAATAGCTAGGATTACAGGTGTAAGCCATTGGCGCCCAGCTCGTAGTAGATTTTTGTTGGTTGGTTGGTTGGTTGTGGGGCCTGAAGTCTGGGCCTGGGTACTGTCCCTGAGCTCTTCAGCTAAAGGCTAGTGCTCTACCACTTGAGCCACAGCACCAGTTCCAGCTTTTTCTGCTTATGTGGTGCTGAGGAATCGAACCCAGAGCCTCATGCATTCAAGACAAGCACTCTACCACTGAGCCACCTTCCCAGCCCTTAGTAGATTTCTTTAGCAGGATATGCAGTGGGCAGGGCAGGTGGGAGCAGCCAGATTCAGAGAAAAAGATAGCAAGCTAAACAGTAGGCAAAAGGAAAACCAGGCCAGGTTGAGAGGGCCAAGAAATAACTATACTAGGTCTGCTCAAGGGGGTGATGAAGGTGGGTCCACAGATGCAGGAGGTAGCTAAGGCTGGGTTATCAGGCTCAGCAGAACTGGGGGGTGGGGAGGAGAGGAAGGAAGACTGGTTCACTGGGAATGGAGTCAGGATCTTACCTGCTCTCTGGTTCCTCTGGTGTCCCTAACATCTTGGCCTTGATCTTCTTCCGCTGTTTCCTGACAGCCACTTTCATGGCTTCAAGCAGAAGTCCAGGGACCCTGTGGTCTGTGAGCAGTTCCCTACAGAGAAAAGTAGGAGCAGAGGGAAAGCAATGGGGATGCCAAAAGTAGGTCTCAGACAAGTACCTGTGTTCCTCATTCCTCTGACCTTTTCTTAGTAAGTGGCTCTTAAGAATACTTCACTGCCTACTACTGTTGTGACCCTTTGTGCCTGCTCATTCCTCTGTTTGCACCAAGTTCTAGAAAGGCAGGAACTGATAGTCACGTCCTTCCAGGGCCCAGATAGGATCTGGCAAATATTACTGCTGATATATGAAAGAACCAAAGGATGAGGTGTGGTGGCCGGAGGTCCAAGAACTGGTGGGAATGGAGGACCTTTGGCTTCCCAGCCCCTCACCGCTGGAAGTAGGCCAACTCCTCCTTGAGCAGGAACACATTGGCCTTAAGCTCATTCCGCTCCTGAAGAATCTGTTCAACCTCCTCCCGGCTGAAGCCGCACTGGCCTCCCTGCAAGGGACTCCCTGGCTGCTCTGGTGCATCCACCTGTAGGAAGTCAGGTGTGGTTAGATGGTGATCTGTGTTTAATCCTAGTGCCATCACAGGAACACGAGGGGACGTGGGGACAGGGAGGCGGAGAGCGAGGGTGCTGCCGGACGCCAACTGGGGACCAAACCCATATGCTGCCATATGGGTGGATCTGTTACGCAGTATGGTATCCCTGCCCAATGCATACCGAGTGCCCTCTTCTGATACTTACCGGGTGTTCAGGGGCTGCCCGTTCGGGCTCCTGCTTCTGGTCTCCAGCCAGCTCACCGGCGCCTTCCCGAGAAAGCTCGCGCTCCCTCTCGCGGTCCTGAGCCACCCGCAGCTGGGCCTGCACGGCTGCCAGCTTGTGCCGAAGCTCCGCGTTCACCAGCAGAAGGCGCTGCAGCTGCTCCTGCAACTGGGGGCGGGGCGAGATGGCGAGGTGGGCGGAGCTTCGCGGCGCCACAGCCCCGCCCCGCGCCCGCGGCCCGGCCCTCGCTGCACTCACGGCCTCTGTCTCCTGGCTGCGCTGCAGCAGGTCGCGGCTGTGCGCGCGGAGTTCGTCGCGCTGTCGGTCAGTCACCTCCTTGAGCTGCCGTAGCAGCGCGCGCTCCTCTGAGGAAGGGGCGTTCTTAACGGTAGCGGTCGCAGGGGTCCCGCCCCGGACCCTGGAGGGGCTGGCACTCACCCTGCGGCCCCGAGCGCAGCTCCTGGCGGAGGTGCTCGTTCTCCTCCCGCAGCCGCCGCAGCTCCACTTCGGCCTGCTGCGCCGACACCTGTAGCTGGCAAGGCCCGGGACTCTCGGTTAGGGACCCGCGGCTCCCGCCGGGCGCGAGCGGAGGGGACAGAGACTCACCGAGTCCGGGGCGGGCCCCACGGCGGCCTTCTCCAGGAGCTCCAGGGCCCGGACCACGAGCGGCACCAGCCCGGCCGCGGCCTCTGGACCGAAACGACGCGCCAGCTCCTGCAGCTCAGTGCCCAGGGCCCCCGCGAGATGGTACACGAGCTCCGCCGCTGTCCCCGGCCCCGCGGCCCCTCGAGACCCGCAGCCAGCTGGCCCAGGCGCTGACCAGCTAGGCTCCATTTTACTTGCTTCCCCTACTCCTCAGGCCAAATTCACTCCTACTCTGAATTGGGCCAGGGACAAGCCACAAGTTCCGGTCCAGGAAGTTTAGTAAGGGGTGGAGTAGAAGTGACAAGGGAGGAGCGCCCAGGGGAAAAGGGCTCTGGAGTGGGGAGACTGTCCTAGGCCCCCTGGGCCCTGTCCTGTTCAGCTGCAAGGTCACTGGAAAGAGGACAACCAACTCCAGGCAGGCATCCAAGAGCTGAGGCCCAGGGCTGTCAGTGGTCACTTTAGGCAAGCCCTCCCCATTGCACCCAGGTCAGGCTCCACCCGTTTCTGGAGCCAGAGGCTGGACTTTTGAGTGTCTGGAAAGGTTGAAGGTTGACCTTCTTGGGAAGAGATGGCTTGTTCCAGTGCTTATTTTCCCAGACCAGGAAGGGCACAGCTGAAAAAGGGCTGGCAGGTAATAGTGAACACCTATAATCCTAGCACTCAGGAGACTGAGGTAGGAGGAATTAATAAAAGGCCAACCTGAGCTAGACAAGTTTTTTTTTAAAGCAAAAAACAAGCCTGGCACCAATGGCTCAGGCCTGTAATCCTAGCAACTCAGGAGGCTGAGATCTGAATATCACGGCTCAAAGCCAGCCTGGGCAGTTAAGCCCATAAGTATCTACAACTGTCTACCCAAAAAAGGCTGGATTAAAACTGTGGCTCAAGTAGGTAGAGTGCTAGCCTGATGCAAAACAGCTTCCAAGCCCTGAGTTCAAGTCCCAGGACTGGCAAAAAAAAAAAAAGCCAACAAAGGCCAATCTGGATGGATGGGTGGCTCATGCTTGAAATTCCAGCTACTTAACAGGCAGAGGGCAGGAAGACTGATGTTGAAACTGGCCTAGAGAATAATGTGAGACCCTGACTTGAAAAGGAAAGCAGTACAGGGACTGGGGTATGGTTTGTGGTAGATGCCTGCCTAGCAAGAGAGTGAAGCTGAGTTCAAAACCCCAGTACTTGCCCATGTAATTGTAACCCCTCTGTATGGTATTTTCAGGGAAAAAAAAAAATAAAAAAACAAACAAAAAAACCCCAGTACTCCTAAAGGAGGGAAGGAGAAGCAATAGGTTGGACAATACAGGCACAACTAGACCCAGAAAATGGCAGCTGCTTTAAGTAATGTTGACATTGGGGGATGTGTAAGAACTTTGCAAAGAAAGCAATAAATGGGGTCAAGGCAGCAGAGGGTGAAGGCCAACCCCACGTCAGTACCCTGAGTCTAGGCAATATTGAGCCCCCAACTCCTTAATAGAGGAGGCATTATATCTCACATCAAAGCCAAACCTAGCACACTGGTATCAACAACTGCCTCAGGCCAACCCCCTGACCTACTGACACCTGGAATCTGAATTTAGGAAAAAAGAGAAAACAATCACAAACTACCCTATTTATACAAAATTTATTATTATTTTGTTCAGGATCACAAGCTATCAACAACACAAGCACAAAACAGGGAAAGCGGGCCAAGCTGCTGAATGTCACCAGCTTGTCTGTGGGTTGGGAAAGGAAGCTCCAGCATTTGGGGAATCTGAAGCAGGAGGAGTTGAGAAAAACACTAGGCATAGAGATCTTCACGGTCTGCAGAATAGACTTCACCCTCCTGCAAGAGTGCAAAGTTGAGGAAATGGGAGGGTCTGTGCACTTCATGGTAGAACTCTTTAGGGTTTGCCAACTGCAGTTCATACTTCATGTTGGGATCATGCCGTACACCTTAGGGGAGAGGGAAACATCAAATGTTAATAAAGGTCACCTGCCTCACCAAGCAATTCTAAGGCAGAATCAGGCCCCAAGTGCTAAAGGTGCCGATTTCACCAGATCTCTGATCCCCCCACAATTGTGTTGTAGTCACACATACATACTGCTCCCTTACCCATAAAGTTATAATTCCATGAGGACTGGGCAGGAACCATGAAGAAGCCGAGGAAGCGATCAGACAGCAGCATCTGGACCCTCTCATAATGTGAGGGCAGGTAACCTTTGGGGTTGTTGCCTTTGTCGGTGTTCTGGCGTCCCCATTCATAGCCACTAGGGGTCAGCTTATAGGCTGTCAGTGTGCAGGAGCCTGGTGTGAAGCTGGGGAGTGAGAAAGACCAGAGTGAGAGAAGCTAACATTCCAGACTCTGACATGCAATGCCTCCTCCATTATACTTCTTCAAAAGGAGAAGCCACACCCACCTGCAAGTGATAATAATGGTCTTTTCACCATCCCAAGATGGGTTGTCAGCCATGATCTTGGCATGGGTAGTGACATCCTGGGGTGAGAGCTGGGGGGATTCATTGGGCTGTGTGTGGATCCAACCTAAGGGTTCCATCTCCTATAGGCAAAGAGAAATAAAATAACTTTCAATAATAAGTAAATAACAAAGTAAAATAACTGCCTTTCCACCACCTCACCCATGGCAGGAAGCCAAATTCCCAAGCTCTTTCACACCATTACTTACCTTGAGGTACTCATGCTGGGGCAGCTGGCTAGGTAAATGCACAGTCTGATGAGTGCCCCATTGTGGTACCATTACAATACAGCGGATCTCCTTTACCTGGGGGTTATCTGGTGGGCTCACCCCATACAGGTATCCAGCAATCTGAAGATTGGGGGGGGGAGGGTCAAGAAACATCCTTAGTATTAGACGATAAGGGTTCGGGTTTTATTACACTAACAAGAATGAATCTTCTCAAATTCAGGCAGACAACCCTCATCAGAATCACCTTTTCAAACCGTTACATAGGGCTTCATACCACTGTCCCCACCAGAATCTTCAGTTGGTAAACATTTGAGTATCTACAAGCATACAGCTCAATCTCCACAAGCTAAATACTACAGCTGAAAAAACAGTACATGATGTTTCAATTTTCTTGGGGGGTGGGGGTGGGAGGGACTGAATCCAGGGCCTCATGAAAACTGGGCAAGCATTGTACAACCAAGCCATATATTCCAGATTGGTATGTTAAATCTGATACTGTTCCTAACAGGAAATGCTTACTATCAAGTCACTCACAGGGTATTAGCAAGCTTTTCAAACTTGTCAGTTCTGAAAGCCACAAAATGGTGTTTCAGAAAATATAAAAATCTCTGTTTAGGGCTGGGAAGGTGGCTCAGTGGCAGAGTGCTTGCCTTGCATGCATGAGGCCCTGGGTTCCATTCCTCAGCAGGACATAAGCAGAAAAAGCCGGAAGTGGCGCTGTGGCTCAAGTGGTAGA